ATATGTACGCACAGTCCTTTAAAGTAGGCTGTAATTAAAGCCCTTCTTTAAAAACGCCCACTCCTTGACCAGGGGTTTTAGGCCCAACTATAGACTGATTTCTAACCTCCCCCCGTTCCCTCTCCAAAGATTCTGGAAAAAGTAGTCGCAAAGAGTTGTGTGGACTTTCTACAATAACAAAATAGTTTATTTGAGGATTTTTCAGTCAGGATTTTAGAGTTCATCCAGCAGTACAGAGACAGCTCTGGTTAAAGTTAATAATGACCTTTTGATTACTTCCGACAATGGGGGGGACTTGTCTCTGTACTTGTATTAATTAGATCTTAGTGCTGCCATTTGACACCTTGACCATAAATTTCTATGACAGAGACTTGAGCATCAAATTGGCGTGCAAAGGAACCGCAGCTAAAGCTGTTTAAGTCTTAAGCCTTAAGTCTTAAGGTTCTGTAATTGGACCAATACATTTACTTTACTTTAGCTTTTTACCTTGTGGAACTCCATGACTAACTGTAGTATTTATTGAAGATTCATGCGTTAACATGTACAAACTGCGACGATCCTGAATAAATATGACTTAGAACCAGCTTAGTGCGGTTCCTGTAATGCCAATTTGATGCTCAAGTCTCTGTAAAAAGCAATATTTATGGTCAATGTGTCAAATGCGGGCAGCTAAGAATCCTAATAATATAAGTACAGAAATAAAGAAAGATTAATCGTATCCAGTAAAGAAGTGCCAATTAAGGGTACAACTTCTTTAAGCAGCCTAGTTGGGATGGGGTCTAACAGACAGGTTGATGGCTTCGATGAAGAAATTATTGAAGTTAACAGTCCTAGTACCCCACAGTACCCACAAAACACATGTAGACTGGATGGACAAACTTCCATGACCCCTCCAGGATCCCTGCTGGTCCACACCTTCCTTTACCCTGTTTTAAAACTTAGGAACCAAAACAGCATTCTGACAGTCCACAGGTACAGTCCCCGACCTCTGTGAGACATTTAAGAGGGATTTCAACTAAGACAGCCCAACAGTGCCTTCAGCGTCTCAGGTCACATCCCCAGTCCTGGCGGTTTCGACGTGTCTCACCTGCCAGTCCACTGCAGAGCTTCCCAAACTGGAACGACAAAGACGCCACAACAGCTTCGTCCGCCTGTGATGACACCTCACATACCGACATAACCAGGGGAACCACAACATGGAGTCTGTCATCTGAGAGAAGAGGAGCATAGAGGTTCATTGAGATCCGGACTGAAACTTCTCACAGTCTGATGAAAAACCTTAAACTATCTTGACTTAAACTGACCACAGATCTGTAATGACTCACCATTGTCTATCATCTCCATCAAGTTGATGATGGTGTCGAAGGCAGCGAGGCGAACACTGCTCTCCTCGTCTTCGGCAAGCTCCACCAGTTCAGGAAGCAGCTCAGTCCTGGTGTCGTCCACCCTGTAGCAGCAACAGAAGACACATGTCTCACCACAGCAGGAGGTTTGATGTGTGTTTGGTTTCACTGTTCAGTGTTTGCTAGTGTTTACCCGGTTGCTCTGGCGATGTTCTCCAGCTGTCGGCACATACAGGCCCGGACCTCAAATTCCACGTCCTGACATAAAGAACGAATCAACGGCAGCAGCTCCTTCTTCACTCTGATAGACAGGAAACACTCCTGTTAGTGTCCAACAGGTGTGACAACACACCTGAGCCCAGTATACACAAATACATACTATTATAGATATAAAATATATACACCACCAACTACCCACAGTGTGTACAGTGTGTATAGGATGGGTCAAATGCAGAGGTAATGGTAAAGGTATGTAAAATGCTGTAAATGCTCTATATACTGTGTGTACAGTTTGTACTGTATAAACTGTGAGTGTAGTACTACTGTATATACAGTGTGTGTACAGTGTGCACTGTATATACAGTGTGTGTACAGTGTGTACTGTATATACTGTGTGTAAGGTGTGTACTGTATATACAGTGTGTGTAGTACTACTGTACAGTGTGTGTACAGTGTGTGTACAGTGTGTACTGTATATACAGTGTGTGTAGTACTACTGTATACAGTGTGTACTGTATATACAGTGTGTGTAGTACTACTGTATATAAAGTGTGTACAGTGTGTACTGTATATACAGTGTGTACTGTACAGTGTGTGTACAGTGTGTACTGTATACTGTGTGTGTAGTACTACTGTATATAAAGTGTGTACAGTGTGTACTGTATATACTTTGTGTACAGTGTGTACTGTATACTGTGTGTACTGTATATACAGTGTGTGTAGTATATATACAGTGTGTGTACAGTGTGTACTGTATATACAGTGTGTGTAGTGCTATTGTATATACAATGTGTGTACTATATATACAGTGTGTGTACAGTGTGTACCGTATATACAGTGTGTGTAGTACTACTGTATATACAGTGTGTGTACAGTGTGTACGCTGTGTTGCAGCTCACATGTGAGAATCAAACTTGCAGGCGACTTTCCCTAAAATGCGACAGCTGGCCAGACGAGCCTGAAGGGAGTGAGACAGCTGAGACTGATAGAGGAGAGGGTTCAGCACCTGCAGAAAACAGACAGGTACACAGACAGACAGGTACAGACAGAGACAGGTAGATAGAGCAGTACCATAGAGATAAACTCATGCTCACATCTTCTGGGCATCTTATCTAGTTGCCCGGACTGTTTTAATACTGATTATCAGCTGGTTCCAGAGCCACCAGAGTGTTGATGGAAGGTATTGATCAATAAATAATCCTGATCATTGTACCTCCTGTTTGATGGTCTCCCTGGGCAGAGCATTGATGGCCAACAGCAGAGTTTCCAACCAGGCGTTGCTCACCACTGTTAAACAAACACAGCAACGTCAATCTCAATAACAACATCAATGTCAACGTCTGTGGTTCAGGTGTTGTTACAGTGTGTCTGTGGTTCAGGTGTTGTTACAGTGTGTCTGTGGTTCATGTGTTGTTACCTGTGGTTCAGGTGTTGTTACCTGTGTCTCTGTGGTTCAGGTGTAGCAGCACAGTCTTCAGGATGGAGTAGGTGTGGGTGTGGATTAGGATGATGTCATCCTGCAGGATAGTTAAAAACGACGCTGCTGCCGCCAGCTGGATTTCTGCTCCAGCTCCGTTCAGGACCTCCTGAATCAGACAGATAGAACAGAAAACCTGTATGGAACACCTGTTCCACACACCTGTCGTTTCCCACACACTGCCCACCGGTGACTGTTACCTACAGTCTGACTAATGTACGTACCCTGACCTTCGGTACAACCCGACGAAACGTCTCAGCTGGATTCTGGCGGACGAGGCTCGGCAGGTTACTGATGACACTGGCTCTCTGTACCTCCTGACCCACACTGACCAGAGGAAGAGGAAAACCTCACATTAAAACACACCTGGAGACAGGCATACCTAAGCCTGGGAAGATTTTGTTTTAACATAGATGTGACTACACTGGTACGCGGACCCTGGGGTCTAAATATACCATGAATCGGTCGATGGTCCGATTCTAAAGTTATGAATTGGTTGACTGAAGCTTTGCTACTAACAGCGTCTCCACTCTCCTAAAGGTCAATGCCACGGTCTCGCTACAAGAGTGACGAGAGTAACATTGGCACAATTGCAACATCTAAAGTTACAGTGCAGTCCAGTGGTAGCACAATAGATCTAATCCACCAATTAAAGCAAAAAACAAGGAAATCTGTAAAAGAAATAGCGCTCTTCGAAATTATTCACTACAAATTGCAGAAATACATTTAAAACCTATAGAAAGGCCCTCCGTAATGCCAGATGAGCCTATTACATCAACACTAATGAAAGAAAAAAGAACGAAGAAAGATCCAGCTCTAATTGATGCCACATATCCCCATAACCCTAAATTGCAATGATTTTCATGACTTCTTTTAATAATAAATTATTACTATTAAGAGAAAATTAGTCACCAAAATGCCCTCAACAGGTAATCAACTGGCTCTCCAATTCAGGAACTTTAACTAAAGTAAACTCGATAATATATTTAAATAT